TCATCCAACAATTTGTACATTTTATTTTGTGACCTTGGTCTCAATTCCCTGAGTGTAAGAGCACGCTTCTCACTCCCCTCCTGGGTTTCCTGTCTCCATTTGTCCCTTCTGACCTTTGTTTAGGTGCAAATGCTGCCCTTCTGGGCACAGGCTCCCTTCTAGGTTTAAAGGATGCCTAATGGCTACAGTCTCAGAGGTTCAAACCATCAGTCTCTCTCAGTCCTGTAAACTTGATCTTTTTCTGTGATTTTGATTTTGCTCTATATTTCTGCCCACGACCTTCCGTTGTGTTCCTGAATTTGGTGGTTGGTAGTAGTAGCCTGGCACCATCTAGTTCTTCTGGTCTCAGGGTAGTGGAAGCTGTGATGTGTGGAAATTTTGACCGAACTTCTCAGTGGCAATCCAAGCCCATCCATCCCTCCAGTTGTGGCATATGAAAACTAGCCCATTGAGTTTGAGAATTGTGTAGAATGTGACCCCTCTGGGTTAAGTTTGCTTGCTTTTCATCCGTCCTTAATCTGACAGCTGTGTCCAATAAGGGTGGAGCCTAGATCCTCTACTATTTTTCCATTATCTTGTTTTAGATCCCATACCAGTTTTACAAAATATGCCCCTCATAAACAGAAGTGAGTGAGAATTACGAGGGGCTGATCTCATGGTTAGGGAGCCCTGGTGATGCTCTGTGTTAAGTATTGAACTGCTAACGATAGGTCTATGGTTCAAACCCACCAGCTACTCTGTGAGAGAAAGATGAGGTGGTCTTTGCCTATAAAGATTTAGTCCTGGAAACCTTATATAGTGTTGCTATGAGTCGGTGTTAACTTGATGGGCAGCGGGTTAGCGAGTTCAACAATTAACCGTTTTCAGAGATTCAAGTCCACTATGAGGTGCCTTAGAAGAAACTTGTGGAGATCTATTTCTGAAAAGTCAGCCATTGAAAACTCCTTGGACCCAGGGGGATGGACAACAGAAAAGTGGGTGAAAGGAGATGTTGGACAGTGAAAGACATGAAAAAATAATAATTTATGAATTATCAAGGATTCAGGAGAGAGAGGAAGGTTTGGGGGGGGGGGCGGGGTGACAAATGAGAAGCTGATACCAAGGGCTCAAGTAGAAAGAAAATGTTTTGAAAATGATGATGACACCAAATGAACCAATGTGCTTGACACGGTGTATGTTATATGTAGATTATGATAAGAGCCGCCAATAAAATGATTTTTTTAAAAAGAACACTCCATGGAGTACAGTTCTATTCTGAATGGAACTGCCCTGAGTTGGAGTCCACTCAGTAACTGGCTCTACTGGTCAGTCTCAATGTTGGGTAAGATAGTGGGCCCTACAAAGGAAGGACATTGCTTCTAAAAGATTTTATAGATAACCTCACTCATAGTGCTCAATAGTTTCTTTAGTGTTTTATAGTGACTTCTGTTCATACCAAGGCACCCTGGTGGTATCATGGGTTAAGCATTGGAATACTAACCACAAGGTCGATGGTTCAATCCCACCAACCTCTCGGGGAGCAAGATGTGGCTTTCTCTTCCCATAAAGGTTGGCAGCCTTGGGAACCTCCTGGGGAAACCTCCCCCCATAGAGTTGCTATGAGTCAGGATGTACTTGACAATAGTGGGTTTGGTTTGTTCACACAATTTTTTTATCCTGATGCACGTTGTCCAAGTGCAGTGATGAAAATGCCTGGGTTTACCTTACCCTTCTTGGCAGCCGCTGGCCACATATGGCTTTGAACACTTGAAATGTGGCTAGTACAAAGGAGAACTGAATTTACAATTCATTTAACTTGACTTACTTTAAATTCAAGTGCAAATTAGTGGTTACTATATTGGATAGTGCAGCTAGATTAAGGACGGGCTGTAATGTATCCACTTTTGCTTCCTAGGCCCAAAGGTTGTGTGGTACCTTGCACACCCTGGGCATACACCGAATATGAAGGCTGCTATTGAATGAGGGAACTTAGATTCTGTTATTGAGAAGGGTTGACAAACACAGAGGGTCCTGAGCGAAGTAGGCTTTTGGAGAGATCTCAGGTGGAAAGACTGACTGAAGTCTGCACATTGGTTTTCAATGATAGAAGTCTTGAAAAGATGTATGTATATCCCTTAGGAGCGTTAGGATGGATCTGAACATGACTAGCGATGTCAGGCTCATTAAAAACAAGTTTTATTGGCACAGGCTTCGAATATGTCATTCAATCATTCGGCCACATTAAGTAGCGCCGTCATCACCTCCTCAGGCTCATTTTTAAGCTTACTGGTAAACCACGTTGAGGGCACTGCTTCAACAGGACCAGTGAGCGCTCCAGGCTGCATTGGAATCCATAATTTACACACAGACTTGTTTGATAAACAGCTCTTGGTTTCTGAGTTCATGCCCGGAGTTGAACCTGTCTTGTCGGAGGCCACCAGGTTATTTTCCTGTTTGGTGAAGTAGGTGCACTTGTTGGCCACATTGCTTCCAAAAGTATATGTGGTTAAACCGACCTGGGAGTTAGAAACCCTCTAGCTTTGAGTTTGAAGCTGCAGTTGACCTGAAATGTTTAGTATGAAACAGCAATTAGATGGTCCTGTGTGTCCCCAAATTTAATTCAAAATGTGTTTACAAAGCCAACATAACCATAAGTAAAAATCCTAGATTTGTCCCTGAGTTCTCAAAGTGTCAATATTTATGTTCAAGAACCGAAACGCAAAGTGTGTTAGTCAAAAGTATTAGTGTTTCCAATAAGCCAGGAACAAAAATCTCCTTGTGAGAGAAAAAGGGCTCCCTTGGTCAATGCTGGCTGAATCTTATGTTTTGGGCCCCTTCTGTTTCTTTTGAGGGGGTTCTTGTTGACTGCTGGGTCCACGTTTAGACTGATCACTAGCCAGGTGATACAGGCACAGCCCATTTTTGATTCATGAATATTTTGTTTATATTTCCAGAGCAAAGCACCACACTTGGAAGATGCCTTTGATTTCAAATTCTTACAGGGTTCCTCTTTTTGGTGGCTTGTTTTCCCCACGTAAAGCTTATTTACAGGGACATCTATTTTGGTACAACCAAGAATATAAATTCTAAAAAATTAGCAGCTTGCCCACCGTAGTTAATAAAATATCCAAGGCTTGTATTTTTGCGTCTCTAAAACAAGTGGCTAATGGAAGATTTAACGGCATGTTGATGAAGAACAGTCATTTGGTTGGCAGAAAATAATTAGAGCAAATGATTCCCTTAAAGTAAGGGTTTTTGGGAGTTACTTTTTTTTTGAGTCAATATTTAGTAAAATTTTCATTCAAAGTCAAGTTCCGAACATCGTTGAGCACACTGTTCATAATGAAAATCCACTTGTTGAAACTTTGTCTTATGAGCAGGACATTCTTCTAAAGCTAGCAAACAAGATGGATGATACTGGCCCTGGCTGATTTTTTTGTAGTTGGGCATGAAGAATTTACACTTAAAAAAATAATTCATGCTGTATGGTAGTATGTGTTGTAGGCCAAAAGAGTGGCTCAGATGGCAAGTTTTGGGAACGTTGAGAAAAGATAGTGTTCACCAACAGGTGTTGGAAGACTTCCTGAGGATGGTAGGATGTGAACTGTCTTTAGACCGGATCCTGAGGAAACTAGAGTGCTGCAGAAAGAGTGTCACCAAATCCAGGCAAGGCTTGAGTTAAGAGCATGCCTGGAGTATTTGGAAATCAGGAATAGGCATGTTTGTCATGAAAATTCCAGGCGGGGATGATTCAGGAAAGGAGGTCATCTAGAAGCCAGGCACAGGCAGTGCCTGTAACTCTATCGCAGTACTGCATGAGATCTGGTTGGTAAGCTACTCTGAAGGGAAAGACCCATTAAAGACTTTGAATAGTGTGTGTGAGGAATATAGGAGAAGTGAGATTTTTAGGAAGATTAATCACTATAGTGGTTTACAAGATGATTGGGAAGGGGAAGGTAGCAGATGAAACAGATCTAGACCAGCGGTTCTCAACCTGTGGGTGCCGACCCCTCGAACGACCCTTTCACAGTGGTCACCCGATTTATAACAGTAGCAAAATTACAGTTATGAAGTAGCTACAAAAATAATTTTATGGTTGGGTCACCACCACATGAAGAACTATATTAAAGGGTCGCGGCATTAGGAAGGTTGAGAACCAAGGAACAGAAAAGCGAAGAATGAATTTGGCCTATTTGTTTCAGAAGGATTTAAATTAATATGTATTTATTTATTAAGAGAGAAGACTGTCATTTCATGCCTGTATGACAGAAGCACACTTAGTCTGCAGGGTTGATTTGAAGGGAAGATGGGCTGAGTTTTAGAGTTCCAGAGGATGGAAGGAAATGTAGCTGCTAGGATGGAAATGACTCAGGATCCCAAGTTTAGGCAGCATCTCTTTTCTGTGGGTTTGTCAGTTGCATTTCTGATAATAGGTCAGAGAGAAACCATGACTGATTGCTGTTTCCTTAAGCTGTAAGAGGGTGTAGGGAGAGGGAGGAGAGTCAGGTGGCTTATGCAGAAGGTTCAAAGACCATGAGATTGGGAAACAAAACAAAAAACCACACTGGTTTCAATGACTTGATTTAAAAGTTGAAAAGCAGCATTCAGTGGAATAGTTGGAACTTGGAGTACAAGAACTTTGTGACTAGGTGATAATGAAGTAAAGGCAGAATGTGTGGGCCATACAAATGTTAAGCCCATGTTAATTCTTCAGCCACTTGCTTTCCCAACCCTTTTCCCAATGTCCAGGCAGGAAATAACAGGAGACAAATTCAACACTGCCCTACCATCTCTTGGTTAAGAGACTGATTGTAGCAACTGGAGAAGTGCTTGGTCGGGTGAAACGATTAGTTATTTGATCCCCATTGACCAGATTAGTTATATAACAATGACCCTCATTAATGAAGCTGACTGAAAAGGATGACTTGCAATGTAATAATATTAAAAATGAAACATTTACATTACTGAAAATTATGCTTCTACTAAATATTATGTGCTTCCCCCCCTTTTTTAAATCTCAGTTTCTATGCAGATTTTGGACCTCTGAACTTGGCAATGGTATATAGATACTGCTGTAAACTAAACAAGAAATTAAAAGTGAGTATTATAGATGTTTCTGTTTTGGTATTAACATTTTTAAACTGTGAACTCTGACAAATGAAATTGCTGTGCACATACCCTTTAGTCAGGTAATCTTATCTTTGGAAACTTATGTGAGTAGTTCACCTAGAAGTTGAACTTGATCTTCCTGATGGTACCACAAAGGACATGTTGACCTCTTTCATTTTTCCGGATGAATTGAAATGTGAGCTGAATGAAGTCATTGGAATAGTGTTCTAAGAAAGTACACGTCCCTTTAAGGTTGTCATTAATGAGTGTCTATCAGATTCTCCCCCTGGGCAATTTTTCTGAACCTCCAGGTTTGCTTCTAGATGCTGTTACCAGGTGATGAAAACATTAATCAAACTTAATGCTGTGGAGTCAGTTTTGACAAATGGTGAATTGTGTGTGTGCACAATAGAACAGTGCCCATGCCGGGTTTGTAAGGCAGTGAACTTTTGGAAGCAAATTGCCAGGCCTGTCTTTCTAGTTGCCGCTGCTTCGGTTTGAACTGCCAACATTTTGGTTAGTAATTAAGTCCTTAACTGTTTGCACCACCCAGGATCGCCCCCTCCCCAGATTAAGAAGGGGCCAGCCCTAGAGTTTCTCTCCCCTCTCGAGATGGCAATGCTGGTGTTCTCAGGATGATGTCCTCTCTAGAATATTCACAGCCGAGTGAGATTAATGAAATAGCAGTGACAGAGCCTGGGCTCTACCTGTTCTACGAGAAGTAGATACATTCATTATCATCTGCAGTTTTGATTTTACGTGGGGAGCTGGTACTTGGATATGGGTTTAGGCATGTGACTACTTTGTTCCCCCTTATTTCTTAGCACACGAGGAAAAATGATATCTATACTCCTAGATTTGGTGAATTTATTTCAACTGTTTTTCTTTTAATTTTCTAAGTGAGAATTTTAAATACAGCATTTCTGTTTGAAAGGCAGAATGCCATACAGCAAGCTCTTAAGGAAAACTACTAAATTATAGTACTTAATGTAGTTTGTATAGTGTATAATGTATAGGTAGCTATTTCTGCTGGGTAAATTGCTATTGATGTTAAAGAGTTTTATGTATATATAGGCTTTGTACACATTACCTGCTCAATGCAAATTTGATTTACTTTTTATTGAACCTAGGTATCTCTTTTGGAGTCTTTTCTGCTGAGTATGTAGTATACCTTTGACTTTATAGACTTTTGCCTTTTATCTCAAATGCTGAATGAGAGAGCTTTGTAGCTAACATTCATATAACATAAATTCTTTTACAGTAAACTTTTCTTGGAGCTAATTTGTAAAGTATTGCCTGACTTGAAAAGACACATGTAAATTCTCTTAACTGAACCACAAGTATGTTTTCCAGAAAAAAAGGTATTTTCAGTAGTTTAGCATATCAAGCTGAGAGTCTTGTATTCACCAAGGAAGCAAATACTGTCCTTTTCATATAAAGTGGATTTTTAGTGGATGAAATAACAAAGGAAAGATAATTCATAAACAGATGATTGATGTCTGTTTTTTCCTTTCGAGGACTGAATAAGTTCATCCTTTTTGGAATAGACGAGTAAGCAGCTTGTATGACTGGAGTCTTTAGTTAACAATCTGGGGCCTGGGTACTGCTTACGCTGACCCAAGAGAAAAACCTCATTATTAGGAAAGTAGAATTGCCGGTCTGACTCAGTGCTACACTTACAGCAATTGCCTGGGAGGAGATTGAATAGACTAGTTATTCTACTGTATTCTAAATTGAACAGTATAGGTAAGTATATATGAAGTATTGTTTTAATTTATTTTCATTTACAAAATGCCCTTTGAGCATTATGAAAGTTTAATAAAGTCCAGACAGTTCCCTTGGTTGATTTCCATCATCAGATAAACTAATGTGTCTGGAATGACATTTTAGCTTTGGCACAATTTAAAAGTATGTCCCAACATGTAATTGGCACATCTGTTTAAGGAATGAGTTTTCAAAAATGCTAATAACTCATAGGTTATCTCAATGAAGCATGACAGGTAGAATTTTTAGGTTAGGAGGAAAAGGTTGCTTTTTACCAATCCAAATTTGTAATGCCTTCCTTTCTGCCTTGAAGGATCTTAGGTTTGTTTTTTTTTTATCTTGGAAATTCGGATTATATCATCTGACAGAGTGATGGTTAGGATTATGTTAGAAAATGTACGTAAAAGTTTGTAAACTTCAAGATCCTCTTCACAAGAAAATAATGCTGATATTAGTGAACTCTCAGAGGTTAATACAGTAAAGACAGCTCTTTAAGGAAGTCTGAACACCCGCGTAGTCTTACAGCGTTTGCTTCCATCGAGAAAGGCATCTAATTATAGGATCTGTATGACAATTTTGTCTTCCTGATTTTATGGGTTCAGAAAGAAGAGTTGCGGGGGCTGCCAAAGACACAGTATAAAGTCAGGGCGAGATGGCCCAGCTCTTGACTCTATTATTCATGTTCCTCCTTTCTACCTTTGGTGGTGGCCACAGTCTTTGGGGTCCATTCTTCCTTGACTCACTCTCTGCAAGGCCCATTTTGACCGCCCATGGTCACCGTGATGCCACCGAGGTTTCGAGGCTCCTGCTTTTTCCACGCAGAAGACTCCAGCCGCTTCCAGGAGATGGATTTGCAAAACTCTCCCACTTGGTACACATCTTCTTGTTATTTTAGTTCTGTCTGAATCCAGTGTCACCTGTAGTTCTCCAGCCTCCTTATTCCCCCAGCCCATTGCCTCCCTGCGGAGAGCGGAGAGCGCTCACCTTTATCCCATGGGTACTCAGCTTGATAAGGCCTTTAGGGGCTTGACTTCCCTTTCTCTTATTTGCTTTGCCAGCTCCCGCCCTTGTCTGCTCAGTGGCTGATTTCCTGTACTCATTTCCGGGAAGGTTGCGCACCTCTGCCCCTCCCTGCTTTGGGCTTCATTCTGACCTCTACCAAGGGCTTCACTCCAGGAGTAGCATTTCCTTTTGTTGCCTGCTCTGACTGTCATGTCCTTTCCCTTGGCGTTGATAACTGCTGCTCCTCGAAGACCTTGTCTAGCCAACACCTCCTGCTCTTCTGGGCTGGGTGGAAGGCTTCCCAGGTCTCCCTATAATTCTCCGTACAGATCTTGCGCATGCGTGAATTTTAATTGCGCACTGGGCTGCTGACAACAAGGCCAACAGTTCGAACTCACCAGCAGCTCAGCGGGAGAGAGATGAGGCTTTCTGTCCCCATAAGCATGTACAGCCTTGAAACCCCAAGTAGAGTCCGAATCAATGGACTTGATTGACGGCAGTGGGTTTGGGTGATTTGTTTTGATTCTGAGTTCCCCCCAAGGTGGGAGGGTCTCCACAGAGACCAAAGCTCAGCCCCAGGTCACTGAGCACATTAAAATCTTCTGTAGACCATAATCGATCTCCTGGACAGATAGATCACCTTTTATCTCTCTGTCTGTAAAGGTTTCCAGGTCTGGCTTTCCATCAGAGTATTTTTATCTTTGTTAGACCCAGATTTCTTTAGTCTTTTGCTATTTAGCTTTGGGCTTCTTTACTGAACTCTGAATTCTACGGTGTTTTTGTTTCTCAGACTCCTCTACTTCTCTGAATAATCTCATACTTTTTAAACCAATAACCTTAGAGTTCTCCTTCTGTGTCATTTCCTAACCTTCAGCAGCATATTTTATTTTCTGCTTTAGGGATTCTTATACTTTACAGTTAAATTTAAAAAAATTCCCTCCTTTTTCTGTACTTATATTGCTAGTTAATGTTCTCTAATTATATTGCTAGTTAATATTTTGCAGTGCCTTTCTTCCAAGCTAAATTCATTTTTTTCATGCGTTTTAAGATGAAGATTTGAAATTATGATTTGTTGCTCTTTGTGTGTGTGAGAGAATGCATTTTATTTTGAGTGGTCTTAATTATAATTATATTGATTAGAATGAAAAATGATTCATGAAACCTTAAGTAGATTTAACAATGAAACCCAAAATCACTCACCAAACAAAAAAGCCTGCTACTGAATTTAAAATATATTAAATTTTTTTTTTAAGTATTAAGGGTTATGCACTAATTGGTTGTATTTTGCTATTTCTGGCCAATAGTTATTTTAATAGATTCAGTTAAGAGAGGAATGATTTATTGAATTGATAATTTTCAAATGTTATATTACTTAATATCAGTGATTGATAAGCTAGAGCATGTATTATTAATCTGTTAGTTCAGGGCATCCATACATCCATGAAGTTATATATGTAAAATTTTGTGTGTTTACATTTTTCTTCTGGATGATTCATAGTTTTATATCAAGCCTTCAAAGGTATCCTTGGCACAGACGATGATAAGATCCTTAGGTTAGAAGAGAAGACTATACTAATAAAAAATATAATAGCAATAGTTTAAAAAGAGAATGCCGTCTCTGAATTTAATCAGTTAAAAAATCTTTCAAGTACTGATTTAATAATCTGAATATCTAATAAACATAATATGATTAGACTGGCTTCTCCTAAATTAGTCACTGCAGCTATAGTGGTTGGTTTTGCTTTTCTTCGGAGAAAAACAAAACCTTAGCTTAGGAAAAAAATTACCTACAAGCATCTCTGAAAAAAGGGACTTTTTAGGGCCGTGATTTTCCTTTTTCTTTACTTGTTTGCAGGAATCAACAGGACAATTTCAGTAGTCTTGAGGACTATAAGCAAGTTTTAAAAGACTACTCACAGAGATGTAATTTTAAATATGTGAAATATCCCATATAGTCTTCTCAGAGTAATGGGGTGGATGGGTATCATGAAATTATTATATAAAATAGTTAAAAATTACAAGCAGATAGTGGGGGCTCGGGCAGTGTCATTGTTGCTGTGCAGTGATCCTGGCCTGGTAATGACACACCTTCCATGGTTTCAGGTGGTTGTCCACAGAACTGTTTGGATTTTATGTCTGCATATAATACGAATAATGACCCTACACCCACCCAAAGCCCACAGGAAACAACACTCTAGGGGACTCTGCAGTTGGATAATAAT